ACTGACTGAGGGTGCCCTCGATCCCCTCATCTGGATCATTGATAAAGATTTTAAACAGGACTGGCCCCAGTACTGAGCCCTGGAGAACACCACTAGTAACCACCAGCTGGATTTAACTCCATTCACCACAACTCTTTGGGCCTGACCATCCAGCACCCATTGAAGAGCAGTGTCCTGGTCTTACGAGACAGAGAGGATGTCTGGAGATCTGTATCTCTCATAAGGTTCCTAGTGAGTTCACACAAAACCAGTATGTGTGGGCACATTCTCCTGTTCTAGCAGCTCAGGCTCTTTTTGCTGTTGCAGAGGTGATTCCTGGTGGAGCTGACCGGTGGGACCGTCTGGCTGAGGGCAAGAGCAGTGATCAGCTGGTGGATGTGCTTCTGGAAGAAATAGGAACAGGAACACTGAAAGAGAGGAGTGTCTTCCCTGGATGGGTATGTGCAAGCTTTCTTCTCTGCTTGTTTCCACCGAGATTAATTGGTAATAAAGATCCATTAGGAAGGGGGGAGAACTTCTTTCACGGCTGGTGTCTTCAATATTCACCTTCCCATTAGTTTAACCAATTAAAAGAGCCTTGTCCTTCTCCTCTGTCCTTGGCCCTGGTTCTGGCTGCAGCACCAGGGAATTTCCAGGAGAGCAGGATTTGGTTTTTCCCAGGTTACTTCTCTGCTGATGAGATGAACTCAGACAAAGAATGACTAAGAGTGAGTAGCGAGACTCCGTGGTAGGGAATGTCTCCGTTCTGTGGCATCAGGAAGCCCATTCAGCTCACGCTGCCCCATTGCACTGCACCCCAGCATGTCAGGGAATCAGGAAATGATTCAGGGACAAGGAATCTACACATCATACCAGGCACAACTGTAACCAAAGGTTTTCTCAGGGACAGAGTAGCATTCCTGTGGTCCTTCAACATCTCTTCCTCAGCCTTTTCAGAAGCTTGAAGTGTTTACCCTGCCATTCCTGGAAGGTATTTCCAAGGAAGATCTTTCCTCTTCTACTTTTGTCGGGCAGAGCCTCTCACACGGTCCCATTTTGCATAAGGACAAGGTCTGTCAGCTCACTGCTGCTGACAGAAGGTCCCACACCCTCTTCCTCTGCAGCTGTAGTTCCAGCTGAAAGCTCGGTGCTGACCACAGAGGGCTTTAGCATCGCTCTGCTCTAATAGACAACTTACTGACTGCAGATACACTGCACTGGCCATCAGGTGCACTCCCAGCTGCCCGGACACAACGGGGGCACATCAGCTAAAACCCATGAACTACGTGGTGTAACTGTGGGGAGTGGGCAGTGTGGCCAGCACGAGTCCTAAATTAAGCAGTTCCACCTGAGCAGCTGAGACACAGTGCAGAGGCACCGAGAGAAGTGGTTTGTAGTACTGGGAATGAGACCCACACAAATGACTCGTGTTAATGGCTTGAGATGCTGAGAACATGGCTTTGGTGCTGCATCACCAGCAGTGAGATGAATCATAGAATCCCAGACTGGGTTGGGTTGGAAAGGACCTTAAAGCTCATCCAGTCCCAACCCCCCTGCCATCAGCAGGGACACCTTCCACTAGACCAGGTTGCTCAAAGCCTCATCCAGCCTGGCCTTCAACACTTCCAGGGAGGAGCAGCCACAGCTTCTCTGGCCAACCTGGGACACTGTCTCACCACCCTCACACCAAAGAATTTCTTCCTAATATCTAATCTAAACCTCCCCTCTTCCACTTTGAAGCCATCACCCCTTGTTCTGCCACTCCCTGCCCTTGGCCAAAGTCCCTCCCCAGCCTTCCTGGCACCCCTTCAGGTACTGGGAGGCCACTAGAAGGTCTCCCTGGAGCCTTCTCTTCTTCAGGCTCAACAGCCCCAACTCAATGCCTTATCGATATCTGTGTTTCTTTCCCATTACTTAGGGCAAAGGTGACGAGGTGCCTGTGTACCTGAGGCACGAAGGTGAAGTCAGGAACAAAAATGTGACTAAGAAGGATGTGGTGAACATCCTAAAGGATGTCTGGAAGGAGAAAATTGCACTAGAAGAGCAGGTTTGTCCCATTTTCCTTCTCTACAAACAGCATTTGCTAGGACAGTCAGTCCAGTTTGGGCAGCCAGGGTCTTGCCCACGTCCTGCCTGGTGTTTCATCTGAATTGAGCTGCAGAAAACACTGTAAGAACAAACAGCCTCAGCTGGCGGTAACCGCCGGCCTGGCAGGGCTCCCCGGGGATCTGACTCATGAACTGGGACAGTGTCAGGTGGACAACTGGAGTACCTCCATCCCAGGGCTAAGAGGCTTCTTCTACAGCTCCTGCTCCCAGGAGAGCTGAGTCCTCACAAAGCAGCTGCTGCCCAGCCACCACTGCAACTTCAGAGGCATTCAGGAAACCACCAGTCAGCACTGGTTGCTTTGATGGCCAGGGCTGTAAACTCCGGCGGTCCAGCGGCTGTTGCAAGAGCAGCTGAGCTGTCAGTGAAGTCTCCTCCCCAAGGCAGGGTGTCAGGGGAGGAACCACTGCAGTCACCCTGGACTAAATCAGCCACGCTCCTGAGTCTGAGACCTCAGCTAGAACTGCTGCTGTTCTGGGGTGTGATGGTGCCCTGTGGACCACCTGCCATCATGGTTATGCAGCGTCTGTTCCAAGGTGGTGGAAACACCTTGGCAACGTCTGTGCAGCCAAAGCACAGCCAGGGGTTTTTGCTGGGTTGGCTTTAACCCATGACAATCTGGTATGAAGCTCCATAGTGTTTGTGCCCATAGAATCATAGACTGGTTTGGGTTGGAAAGGACCTTAAAGATCATCCAGTCCCACCCCCCTGCTGTGGACAGGGTTGCCAAACACTAGATCAGGCTGCCCAGGGTCCCATCCAACCTGGCCTTGAATGCCTCCAGGGATGGGGCATCCACAGCTTCTCTGGGCAACCTGTGCCAGTGTCTCACCACCCTCTGGGTGAAAAATTTCCTCCTCACATCCAACCTCAATCTCCCCTCTCTCAGTTTAAAGCTTCCAATTCTCCACCCATGAGCCAAGATCAGCTACATCTGACAGAGGGGCAGCGCCTCACAGTTCCTACGTATTTCACAAAAATAGGTAGAAGAGAAATTTTATCACTGGTCTTAGCAACAGAAAAGCTTCATCATAGACTTACCCACATTTAGAGGACAAACCTAGGAGAGTCATTCTGAATGAGCTGATCACGGGGAAGGCTCCAGCCAGCACCAGCCTCGTGTGAGATCCCCACAGACACACTTCTGTACCCAGACAGCTGGAGCCAACTGGGCAGATTGGATGTTGTTCCGCTGCTTACAGGAGTTACCCGCTTGTTACCCACAGACAGGGAAGCGATCCAGTCTGCCCGAGTTCTTTCTCAGCTACCTCCAGAAGAAGTATGGAGATGCTGATGCCATGGAATGGTCGTACACCCTCTACGAGAACATGCGGCTCTGTCGATCGAACCACGTCCTGAGCTCGTTCTATGACGTACTGACCGGGAAGGTAGGCACCCCGCAGCCCAGCGCCGCGCCTCCGCCCCGACGTCCCCGCTGTCACGGGCAGCAGGCCAGGGGAGCGTTCCTTTGTGAGGCAGCTTCACCTCCCGTCCCCTCCCCGGGGAGCTGCACCTTCTCGTGAGAATAAAAGAAAACACTGGCACACAGCAGGAAGGGAATCCTGTAGGTGTGAGACATGGCAGGATGTTATTGCTCCCAACAGAGCTTCTAGAAGACCCCAGTAGTTTTGTAGACGGACAAAACACAAAGTCCTTCACTCCCAAATGCCAACATGGGGATGTTCTCAGCGTTTCTCTCCTAACAAATCCCAGCTGAACCCAAACCCCAGCGCTGTTCCAGCTGCTGAACAGAACCAGCTCTTGCCCAGCTACCAACTGGGACAGGCGGTTCCTGACCCGTGAACCTTCCCTGTTTTGCAGGTGGGTGAAGAACAGTTCCACAGCCAGAACCAGCTGATTTCCAACCTGCAGAAGGAGCTGGCTGCCTGCGACAGCTCCAACAGCGGATCCCTGACCCACGAGCAGTTCAGGCAAGAGGCCAACTGTTCCCCACCGAGCTCTGCCCACATCTGGCACACGCTGGATGTGGTGACACGCTGCTTTGCTTCTCTGCCCGCACAGCCAGGGGAGGAGGCTCTTCCCTCTGTTAGATTCCTGGGTGGAAACAGCTCTAGCACTCGGCATTTGTTAACCTCTGTATTAGATTCAGAATAACATGAAACCTGCAGGTTTTGAGTAGAACAACCGAAGAGACCTGAGAGCAGATGTGGGGTGCTTCACACATGCCATGGGACAAGCTGGCACCCTGTCACACTCTCTGAGGGGACACAGGTCCTGACACAGTGCGCCTACGAGCCCCTGTGCTAAGTCACAAAGCACATCTGTGAATTTTGCTCCAGGTGGAGGGTTTGTCAGTCTTCTCCCAGTTCAGCAGTATCAGCTGTGCTTTCTGAAGTGAAACTGCAAACACAGCAGTTCCTTGGGCTGTGGCACAGAAGAGAAGTACCAGCTGTTTCCAGTACTTGGCTGGGAACACGGCACTGGTACAGACACACTAACCAGTTCAGTCCAGGCTACCAGCTAACCCACGCTCAGTTACATTCACAGAAATCATAGAATGGTTTGGGTTGGAAGGGACCTTCAAGCTCATCCAGTCCCAACCCCCCTGCCAGCAGCAGGGACACCTTCCACTAGACCAGGTTGCTCAAAGCCTCATCCAACCTGGCCTTCAACACTTCCAGGGATGGGGCAAACACAGCTGCTCTGGGCAACCTGGACCAGTGCCTCACCACCCTCTGGGTGAAAAATTGCCTCCTCATATCCAACCTAAATCTCTCCTCTGCCAATTTAAAACTGTTTCCCCTCGTCCTGTCACTCTCTGCCCATGGAAAAAGTCCTTCTCCCTCCTGTTTCCAAGCTCCCTTCAGGCACTGGAAGGCCACAATGAGGTCTCCCTGGAGTTTTCTCTTCTCCAAGGCATTCAGAGTTTCCCACAGGGCTCAGCATCTAACACTCACCGGAGTCCTAAGCTCTGCTGGAAGCTTTGCCTCTGTTTTGGTGTGTGAAGGTGCACGTGCTTGTTGCAATGCATTTCCTGGGACAGCAGTGAATTTTTGAAGGCCTGGCCCATGCAATACATGCACACTGGTATCCTTAACCACAGCCAGGCTCACGGGCAGTCGCTAAACCCTCACGCTGTAACAGCAGACACACGTCTGTCCGTATTGCCTGTCTCCCAACAGCACGGTGGTGAGGGAAGCTTTTCCCCTGAAAAGGGAAGAGTCAATCCAAGAACTGCTGGATGTGAGCAGATTCCAGCTGGACAGCACTGAAGACCTCATCGACTATACATCCTTGTTCAAAGAAGTAAGCTGATCTTAAGTTTTCCTTTTCATAGAATCATAGAATTGTTTGGTTGGAAAAGACCTCTGAGATCATCGAGTCCAAACATACCTGTCCACTACTAAACTATATCTCTGAGCACCCCATCTACCTGAGCACCCCATCTTTTGATTCAGATCAAGCCGAATTTAGCTTGAATTAGTCTTAGCAGCCTAACTGGGTTTGTCAGGCTAACAAAGTTGTGGTGCCCACCACAGGCGCTAACGCCTGAAGGCCATCTGCAGACAACAGCAACGCAGGCTGGTGCCTCTCCATATTCTTCCTCTTTATTTCCACTTTTCACATGGCAATTCCGTTTCTAGCAGAGCTGCCTTATTTTAATACACACTGAGGGCCAGGTCCTACCCAGAGTGGAACACAGCTCAGTGCTAACACACCTGGGATTTCTTTCAGGATGAGGAGGGGAACGCTGAACCTTTCGTCAGCAAGCTCAGGAGCCAGTATGCCAGGGAGAAGCAGGAGTATCTGAGACAGCTGAAGGACAAGCTGGGAGATTTAATGTAAGTCTGGAGGGAAGGGGCTGATGGGGCCAGTAGATCAGGACGGCGCGTGTGGAGGGAACCTGCTGCGGACACGGGAGTGTGTGGCCAGTGCAGGGGTCCCCTGCACCACCAGAGGGTCCCAGCTGTGAATGGTGCAGTAAATACCAACACCTGGCTGAGCACGGCTCTACAAAACACCACACAGCGCCAGTTCCCAACCCAAAGGGCTTGGACACGGCAGGCAGGGAGTAGAGAAGGTTGGTTGTACCAATTCACAACTTCACTTCTCATATCTTAACACTCCTCAGCTCTCCAAAACCAGCAGTAAAATCTTGTATATCCTCAGAGCTTGGTTCTGAGGAGTGGGGAGAGCGATCAGGACCGAGAACTGCAGATTTAAAGAAATAATTCCACCTCAAATCAAGATGAACGAGGCAGTCACTGCACAGAAAAAGAGTCTGGTGCCAGGCACCGAGCACTGAGGAGAACACTGGGGTGGGTGGATGCCCACAAAGTTAAGTACTGTCCAACGTGGGGACTCAATTAGCAAGGGGAAAAGTAGCTCTGGAACAAACAAAGGCTGTCACAGTGCACAACAGGGTGAAATTCAGGTCTTCCCAGGTTAACACAAGTCTAACGTTTCACTCTAACATTTCTAACATTTCCCAGCTCCTGTTCAGCTTGAAATTCCGCACTTGGCAGTCTGTTACCTGCGGATTTAAAAACCAAAGGGATGCTAGTGGAGGCAGAGATGATAATATCAAAATAAACCTCTGCTCTGCAGTTCAAGCAGCACAGATCCATAAATACAGCACAGAAACTTTCCTTTCACACACCACAGCACAGCAGTGAGCAGGTTGTGTTTTTGAGCAGGGAGGTGAAGGCAGGTGACCTGAAGATCGCCTTCTGTGCCATCGATCCCGATATTGATGATCAGACGCTGGATACCTACGTTGGTCTGGCTTGTCAGGTCCAGAGAGAAGAGCCAGACCAAGAAGTTGTCCCTGTGGAAACTGCACTTGAGAGGCTACTCGCTGGAGATGTGAGGCGAGTAGGGCCCTCACCCAGGGAGGAAAGCACGACCGGCTTTGAAGGAGAGTAAGGAGCTCTTACAGTATTAAAAATAAATGGATCTACAGGTTGGGATACCAAAGTGGGAGCCAGATTCTCTGCACTAAACACTTCTTGCAATGCACACAGAGATACAGCGAGTACCTAACAGTTACCAGACAGTTAGTAAGAGTTAGTTCCTAGCTAGCAGAGGACAGGTTAGCTTGAACTATCAGAAGCACTTTCAGCCCAAGCAGCAAAGCACTCCAACATGATTTGTGGCTTCTGCAGAGTCATTTCAGCTCCGTGAGACTCGCAGTGGGAGGCTCCCTGACCCCCAAACAGAAGCTTCACAGCCCACGGCACTGGGGCCCCCCAGGGTGTTGGGCTTTCTGCTTGGTGAGAAAACAACGATGCTCCAACAGTCATTGCAAGAACCTGAGGAGCCACCACCAAACCCCAGGCTGCTGGAGCCCTTGGGCTTCACGGGCCCTTGCCTGGAAGAGGGAGGGTTTTGCAGGTTCATTTGCAAATGAGGTGCCATCAGCACCTACTTAGTGTAAATTATTGACTGTCCACTGGTACAGGAGGAGGAATCTAAACCTCCCACCACAGAACAAGAAAAGCTTTCTGGTTAAGGAAGTAGCCTCATCGTAGGGGGAAGCTTGAACACAAGGGAGGGAGGCGCGTTCAGGAGTCACTTCCCTCAGGCTTGCAGAAATGATCCATTCCAGCAGCATCTCCTCAGTTCTCATTTTTGTCCAAACCCCACTTTGGTCCCAAGCATGGGATGTCTCCAACATTCCAGGCCTCCTGCTCTCTCATCAAGCACAGTCAGGGTGCAAGTGACAGGTGAGTTCAGCCCACACTGGCCCAAAGGAGACTTTCTCTTGATGTAGCTGCTGGTGTCCTGTATGAAATCACTTTGAAAGACATTCAAATGCTGCCCCACGAGCAGGTGTAACCAACCTCTGAGCTGCAAAAGCAACCCCAGCACAGCAACGCTGGAATCTGTCCCTTGCTGCAAGGAAGCCACCACATGCCTTTTGGTAACCACCAGAAGCCATCTGCCAGCCACTGCCATCAATTAATCCTTCCTATTCGTTAGTGTCCTCTCTGTCCAGCACGCAGCCCTCTCCAGGGAGGGGAGTAACGATTCTGCTGCTCCTTCCTCATGCTCTTCCCCTGCTCCAGCGTGGGGTCCTTCCCACGGGACACAGTCCTTCAGGAGCTGCTCCAGCGTGGGTCCCTCACAGGTCTCTGCCACCAAACCTGCTCCTGCATGGGCTGCAGCTTCCTGCAGGGCATGTCCACCTGCTGTGGCATGGGGTCCTCTACAGCTGCAGGGTGGATGTCTGCTCCACCAGGGTCCTCCATGGGCTGCAGGGTGGATGTCTGCTCCACCATGGTCCTCTATGGCTGCAGGGTGGATGTCTGCTCCACCATGGTCCTCCATGGGCTGCAGGGTGGATGTCTGCTCCACCGCAGTGGTACCAAGACAGGTTTGTTAATCATGTGTTCGCTGCTACTGGATGTAAATCTTCAGTTATCTGATTTATTGCTCTTAAATCCTGCACCCACCGGTAACTTTTCCTGTCTGGCTTTTTTACTGGCAAAACGGGGTGTTACACCCTGAGGAACGTTCAACCAGTAACCAGGCTTCAGAAACTCTCCTGTTTACCCTTTAACTCTTTTCTGTCTCCCAATTTCAAGGGGTGTTGTTCAATTCTTACTGGTTGAACCTTCTCTTTAAGCTTAATAGTGACCAGTTCAGCATTTTTAGCCTTTCCAGGTGTTCCCGTTGCCCAGAGCCTGGGATAGACCTGATTGTTTATTTCTTGTAAAATTTCTTCCCCTTTTAATTCTGGGCTCTGAAAGGGTCCAGCTCAGGGTCTCAACATGGTTTTCTTCTGGAGATTCAAATTTAATTTCTCCATTTTCTAATTTGATTTTGGCATTCAGTTGCTCCAAGAAGTCTCTGCCCAGCAGAGATCTCGGTGCATCTGGCAAGTAGGGAAATTGGTGGATTCCCACGCTCTTC